TTAATTTTGTAATATGATTATTGTTAACATAAATCTACTCACCTCTCCACAAATTAACACTAATGTAAATTACATGTATATGTATGAATTTCAATAACCCATATTTTTAAGAAATAAATCTGGGATCCCTACTTTATAATTTTTTCAAAACTTTTGTGTATTTAATTTACTTCAAAATAAAAAATTAAATAAAACTATGTAGATATCAACAAAGGTGCACTAATAAATAATACATCGATTTTTTTAGAGTTTTTTTTTTACTTTTTATATTTACATACACGTGTTGCTAATGAATCAAGATTTCTCCTTTTTTTAAGTATTTTAAAATAAGTAAATGTATTTCACAAACAAATAGTACTTGGTTCACAAGTTTAAGCACTTTTAGCAAATACTTAACAAGGCTGCGTGATATGCGTGAGTATTACAGTATCACATACATTTAAATCATACCTATATTATATAAATAAATGTTATTTGTGCGAACGTTTTAACGACGCTCTAGAATTTAGGAGTTAAGATATTTTTTAAATACCTATTGTAATCGTTGCGCGTAAGGTTTTTATTTATATGTTAAAAATACTTTTATACACATATAAATACAGAAAAAAAATCCAACCAATTTCTTATAAATATAATATATTTATATATATTTTTTTTATTTTTTAGTATACGCGTACAATATATTATATTGTACGCGTATACTGCACACGCGTAAATAAATATTTTACAAACACTGCTACTGTACAGGCTTTATGGCAATACTACAACGCTAAATTGGGATAACAAATATGATCCAATGAATAAAATTAAATTAAAAATAATGGGTCCATTTAAGCCTATTAACGACCTACATATATGTATAATGTATTTATTATATAATATTACCAAACGTGACTCGTTGGTGTACGCGACTTGTTCACGTACGAACAATGTGCGAATAATGCGATAATCTGGCGCTCGCGGAAGAAAGAAATATATGAAACGGTTTTAATAATTATAAATTACATTTTACTGTGTAACACTTTATTATGAATTTTAATGTCTCGCTTTCTCTGGGTCAAAAAAATTAAATTTTTAGTAAAACTAAAAATTTTATTTTTACAATTTAATTTAAGTTTCACAGTTTCTTATAAGTATATTTGTATATAAAATGTATGTTACTATTAATTTATATTATACTGATCTTTAATTATCTGTACTTAGGCCACGGTCTATACTATAAATAAAAATAAAATAAATTGCAACCGTACAGTATAAAATTGAATAAGTCGAATGTTATAGTTGTATTTATACATAAATAAAATAACAAAAAATAATGTATTTTGTATTATGCATTTTTCGGCCACAGTCAACGATGGGAAATAGAAAAAATGTTTCCCATTAGGTTTCATTAAATGACAACAAATTTTATCTTGCACGAGGGAGATCATGTGTCACTTCCTTGGGCCCTAGATCCGACAAAATAGTATAGTAAGTTAAAAAGAAATTAAAAAAATTCATAAATTAATAAAATATGAGTTATATCATTGAGTTCATGGTGGTGTTATCGATGCTGTGATTTTTGTAGTACGTTTGGTAATCGTACAAATTTGAAAGTTCAAACATTGATTGTAAATAATAATGAGAACTACATTAAAATAATATAATTCGATATTTGTTCACTATGCGACCAACTGTAATTGTATAATCGTATAAAATGATATGATGGGCAATAATAGGTAAGTGCTAATAATGTTTACGATAACCTGTGTTATTATTATTATTATTATTATTATTTTTAATCTGATTAAAAATCGACTGATGAAATAATTTCGTTATCCAGCCATGTACAATAAACTATAGGTATGCCATTGCAATAAGGTTTGCCATACATTCTTTATTGAACAACTGTCATCTAACTCTCTCGCTGGAAAAACATTCGCAGAAAACTTAAAAAATCTACTTTTAATCAACTTAATAAGAAACAATATAAAACATGAATTTTTGATCGGGTATATATTACTGAAAGTATGTATACTTCAACGCGTATTTCCACATGTCATATTTACTATATCGTAAATATAATAACTATAGTATATAATATTTATGCTATATATCAGAGGTGGCCAAATTTTATAGATTTGTGATTGATTTTTGAGATTTTTAGGTTGTTATGATAGACTATATCAAACAGTTATCATTGAGCGAACATAAATTTATATATTTGATATACATGCATGTTACAATTGTTTTATTTATTCTATTTAAAATGTTAATAAATAATAATAACGTTTAATTTTATAGAACGCGTATTTTAATATATTTTTTATCAATTTACAAGAACGTTATAAAGACCGTTATTTAATACAAAATATCCATTGGATTACGTACAATATATCCAAGGGTGTATTTGAGGGGAGTGAAGGGGCATTCGCCTACTCATGGTTCGTATTTTTTTGAATATAATACATTGATTTATTTAAAAAATGTAATGTATAAATAATTAAGAATATAAATTAGTAGTCTATCATTATAATATATTATCATTATAACAGGGACATAAGCTGTAGGTAATGAATTGTAAATTAACTTTAAGTTTGTACTGGAGAAAAATTAGTTTCACCCCCCCCCACCATGGCCATAACTCAAATACGCCCTTGAATATATCTACATAGTTACTGGATATCAGTGTATAATGTCATTTTTCATAGTTATTTATCACTATATATTGTACTACATACATTGACTTAATTGTTATTAATATAATTCTGATATTCGTGGGTTGAACAAAGTACAAATATTTACAAAAATAAATAAATATTTTATTTATTTTCTTAATAAAAAAAATTAATGAAAAAAATGCAATCGACTCGAACAGTCGACCTGTTGATCACCTCTGCTACTTAAAATGAAAAAAATTAATTAGTACAAAAGTTAATCAGTATAACGCTTCATGTAAAAATAATACGAATAATCCGTCTTAATTTAAACCGTTAATAAAGTACAGAGACAAAATTATAGTTTTGCTCTTCGGTATAATATTTGGGATAAGTACGCCACAGCTTACAATAAGTAATAACAACGAAATTCAACAAAGAAACCCGTTTTCACGATAGGATTTTCGCTATCCGCCGTAGCAGTTCCACTAGTTTAGTTTCAGAATCTTATTATTAATTTACGATGACGGTTCGAATAACAACTCACACAAGACCACCGCATAGTCATAAAAAAAAGCAACGAACATTTTAAGGACCGCTATAGTAATGATAAGATATATTTACTCGCAACATCTTAATCTATGTATAATTATTATGGCAGAGAACTTGTAGCATTTGCATATTTGTTTTGCACAATCACAAAAATATTAGAATATGAAACAAATATGTTTCATGCTTTCACGAAGCTAGTCTTCAAATTTTATTTTGCATATAGGAGATGTATAATTCTAGTTTTTTTTTTTTTTAAGGGCATATTTTTTCCATTTTATATTTTTAGATGTATATTTCAAATAATTGATCATGTCATCAATACTTTTCCGCCAACATTCTTATTTTATATGATGTACGAACAAAATATTGTCGAGTTAAAATAATAAAAAATAATATTACATTTTGATCATATAATATGGTTGTTGACTGATCGCAGACGCACGTTTTTTCTAGTAATACGTCTCCAGGATGGGCGATTAGATTAATTTTATTTAAAAACAGTTAACTTACATCAAACATTTTCTGATTGGACGTTAACGATACCAAAAAATTTCATTGCAATGATTTTTGTCAGTATTCGTAAATAATTTAATATTATAGTCATTAAGCCTTAGTTCTGCGGTTTGTGTGTGTGCGTCTATTCGTAATTCGTGTCAGCTTCTCGTTTTTGTGTTTTATTTTAACATTAAAATGCCGAAAAATAGTCTTTTAACAGTCGGTTGAAAAGTTATTTGTAGGAATTTGGTGGCTATGTGTTTTTAACCAACGATCAAATCTTATGCTGTAAGTATTGTGATATTAAAGTAAGATGTGAAAAACGATTTAATGTTACGCATTATTTAAGTTATTTATATATATATATTATAAATAAATAGCTTCAAAAAAATATAACAGCATATTTTTAGTGCATACTACAGGGTTTTTAAGTACATAAGTGCTTGCATATTTAGTGTTTTTTTTAGATACAAGTACTCTATCTTAATAGTTATGCAAAATCATAATTATTGAGAGGCGAATAGCCGACAGTAAGGTCTTACAGAAGCCGATAAAATCTTAAATTTTTACTCGACGGTCGCTAACCTGTAAGAACATCGCTACATATATAAAATATTGAAGATTTCTGAGATTCAATATTTTTTTAACAATTTAACACATATAACAATAAAAATCAGACGTTTAAAACACGGTTTGTACCATTTTTCTGTTCACTGTTACTAAGAAAATTCATAATACCGCGGAAACTCTCGATATTCGAACGCATTGTGAATTATTATAAAATAGGGATTCCAATGCCACCTTCTAGCAGTAACTTCAATTTTAATTTGAAGGCAGTTAAGTGATTCACACGAATATTTTATTTTTTAAAAGCTGCATTTGTTATACTTTTTAAAATAAAATATTCGTTCGGTACACAAAAGCGCACTAAGTATTATCTCATCCAATAGGAATTCTATTGTATAAATGGTGGGTTCAAGGTTATAATACACAGTACCTACCTACAAGTTGAAGCATTAATAACATACTGTCAGTTGATGGGCGATGATTGTTATGTACAATTCAAGGACACTGAACAAATATACAAGATTACTTCAAATTTTTTCAAATTTATTACAAAAATAATATAATAAAATACAATTTCGCTAACAAAAAGCACAAATTTCAAAGTAAATTTTGAATATCACATTATATAAAACAATTATAAATTTTAGCTTACATTTTGTGAATACATAGTTACAACAATGGTAACATTATATGATTATGATTTTAAAAATAAAGATAATTTAATCCTGTAAAAATAGTATATAAGAATATTATTTAAAAGTCAATCTTCACATTTACAAATAAAAAAAATACTTAATGTATAATATATATTTATATTAGAATTATAACTTGTATACAAGTTTATAATCCATTCGTTCTATCAGCACTACCATTAGTTACAAGTGCCCTTAAGGTTTGTACTTTGTTTTTTACTATGTTTACATGCATTTGTAATGATTCGGTGAATTCAAGTTGTTCTTTTTTATGTTGGGCAACCCGTGATAATAATTCGTCGTACTTATTGCACGTTCTGGCTAAATTGGTCATCAATGACATAATTCTACACTAAATGAAAATTAAAATAGTATAATAATTAAAATGAAAGATGCAACAAATATAGTCATTGGATATATTGAGAGTTTATAAACAAATTATATTTGGAGTTAATAAATAAATAGGTACTGTAAATCATAAACATTAAACACCAAATTAATAAATTACGTACCTGAAATTCATATTTATTAATATACAACTCATAATTCTTATGGTTCTTATTCACGCGTCTACAGATGCGTCGCAGCTTTGCGTGATTAAAATTTCAACCATGCTGTTTTTTTGGCCCCGCGGCCTGGGTACGGATTTCTATGCAACCGCGAAGAATAATAATTATTAAACAAATCTAGATAGTGTGCAGCATACCTTGTACAAAATATTAATAATAAACGAAAATAAATATAAAAAATTAACACGTGTTGTTAATATTTTATAATTTTAGCATGTTTTTAAATAAAAAGAACAACTATTATTAAATCTACTTCCCATACAAAGATTAAATGAAGAACACGCTAACAAACGAATATTGTCTTTCAAAATAAACTGAAGTTCATCAGTTTTCAGCTAGATAAACAAAATGATTTGTTAGCATTCTCATAAAATTTTTTTTATGACTAATTAATTTACGTCTGGAATCGAATAGAGGAAATTCAATAAGCTGATTTTTCTACTCAGAAAAATCCGCATTTAGACACCTTTCCAAGAATTTATTATTCTACAGTCACAGATACGCGCGAGTCCGTGGCTGTTGAAGGAATCACATACATTTATTAAACTAGTGGCGCGCGGCTAAAATTTGAATCCTGTAGACGCGTGAATAGGAATCGCATCATAAATAGGAGTCGATAACTTTCAGTACAATTTATTTAAACAAAAATTTATAATTTATGGTATTAAGAGTTTTAGTTTTAACAAACGATTACAATTAGGTATGACTTATGTCACAATTTTTAGGTACACACGATACAATTCAAACACTAAAAAAGTATATATTTTTTTTATAATCTACAGTTTAAAAATATTTTACTAAAATCATAATTACACTGTAGACTATACAGTAAGTCTATGAATCAATTGAAAATTGAATACCGATGCAAACGATGATGTTAGCAATTTAGTATTCCAAATTACCGCATAGTAATGTATCTACATTTTACTCAAAACCAACCGTGATAACGGTGCCGTATTTAAATTTGAAAGAATATAATATTATATATAATAATTATTTTACGTCGCAAATGTTTAAATCATAAACAATTTTCATAATTTTTTGAATTGATGTTTCAATATGTTTGAAATTTTCATATCATATTATATACAATCATGAAAAAAGATTAGTTTGGCCCTACCTAGTATTCCTACACACCCACCAATCAATTTCTTTCGTAGCAGTTGATTATCTCATAGATATTAGCATAGTATTTTTCAAAGAATGTTTTATACAAAACTGTAATACAAATAAACTTAATAGTTGATGCAACAAATTATAATCGAACTAACTAATGACACAATTACAAAACATTATGTATAACCATAAATAAGCTTAGTAAAACTTCCGCTAACGGTCACTTTTATATGCAACGATAATTTTTTTTTTATTTGGTTCCATCAAGTCAAGTGTTAAAGGAACAAATAACCTTTTTAATAAGACTACCTTTATATCGAGGTCATAATTGCAGGTGCTTTTGATGATCGTAATTTAATTGAAGTAAAAATATTGATTTAATTTTTAGTGCAGTTGATGCGTATTGAATAATTTACAAATATAGTTTATAATATATACTTAGAAAAGAAATACATAAAGGTCGTCAACTTAATTGAAATTTATTGTTTAATTTGGCTTATTAAGATTTTTTTAATTAAGTTAAGTTTATTTAAGTTAATTGATTAGCCAATAATAAGCAATTTGGAAACATATAATTAGATATAATATCTTGTTTTATTATATCTCAAGATCGTGAAGGGACCAAAGATAATATGATAAATTTGTTAAAATGTAACGTTTTAATTATATATGTGTAAATATTTAAAATTGAGTTAAATAAATGATTTTATAATAATTAATATACTATGTATTTATCACAGTGACCACCAACCAGTTTTTACTAATAACAAAAAAAATTATTGGCTAGTTAAGAATTGAAAATTTTTCCTTTAAGTTAATAGAATATTTGGTATAGGCATTTTAAACACAATTTATTGCGTTTTCTATTGCACATTTAAATGTGCGGTAATGAATCAAATTATTTATTTATTCTTGACTATGATCAATGAAAACATATATATTATACATTTATTTATATTTTATATACCTACATCATAGTTTTAGTTAAATGTGAATTTAGTATTTTTTAATAATTAAGTAAGTTGGTTAATAACTGATAGCAGAGCATAGTTGGTTACCACTAGTCTATCAGATAATATATATTATATATTAATTTGTAGTTATATACTGTAGTATATATAATATTTCAAGAATTTTAATTGAGAATATGTCAAAATAAGTATTTATTATCATTGAATTTAGAGTCAACTATAATATAATATATTATTAACAATGTTATTACTAACTTTTTTTTTTTTATTTACATATTAAATCAATTCTATATTCTCAACAAACTTTTCTGTTAACTTATTGTAAAATTCAGAACTTATTTTTTAAATTTTCTAATACTTCATTTTAATTGAAGATTTTTATTCCAAGAAAAGATAGACTATATCTTGATCATAAATTACCTACTATTATTTTATGATTTTTTTATTATTTGTAGAGCTAAATTTATTATTTTACTGATGATATGGTATATGAAAGAATCACTATTAATATAAGTAGTTCATAAACACTTCTTTTAGCCTTATGTTCAGTTTATTTAATCTCATGAATTTGATTATTTCAAAAATTAGATTTCCTTAAAATTAGCTCAACTTTACCAAATATGTATTTAACTCATTTTTTAACCAAAAAATAACAAAGAAACTTCTTCCGTACTGTTTCTCTAAACACTTTCATTCATTATTAGGAAATACATAATTATATTTATCATACAAATCAGAATTGATTAAATAAAGGCTCTAAATTTAATACAATTATTAAATAAATATTTTTATCTATAGTTGAAGTTCTTATCGATTGGTTTGTATTTTTTAGCAGAGAGGTTACAGAGTTGGTGTGATAGTTTTAAAGTGAATATAACATTTTTTGAAAATTATTCATGAAATTATTCACTTCTTGCAGTTAAACCATCTTAAAAATATCGATATACACATTGTATAGAACAGAAAACTGTGTGCACTGATAACTCACATGGTGAGCAGTCTACTTATGTCTTATCTAATAAAGTTTACATTCATTTATAAATATATTCATCATACAATATGCTATATCTATAGCTTTAATTCAAAGCACATTTTACTTTAAAATGAAGTAAATAGAAAATGAAGATTGGAACTTGATATATTATAAGATAAATTATATCCAGAAATAATTGGTATATTTTTACTTTACAGAGCACCCTAAATGTTAGTTACAAGTCCAATACACTTGCATCATATTATGAGCTACAACCATTATACTATAAATAGCTAATGACATTCAAGACAAATATTATGTATTGAATTGTATTAATACATTAGCATCATTGAAAATATGTCAATTTCATAATACATAATATAACTTTGAAACAAAAAATTGAAACCAATTATCATTTGCACTTTCATTTTTAAAACATTGAAGTACATGCATAAGTTTCAAAAAGAGAAATAAAAAAATACAGGGTGCTCAGTAAAGTATTAAAATTCCAGTACAGTTAAATAATTAATGTTGAACTTACAGATTCAGATATCTCAATGTCTGTAAACAGCACCAGTTCGAATTTCTTAATCTTCCAACTCAATGTGTCAATTCTTTTTTCCATACTGGTCACCTAGGCAAAAACAATCAATTCTACAGGTAATTTTTGGGAATAGTTTTCATAATTTTATCCTACTGGCACCTAATGTCTATTTCAATGGACATTTATATTTACCTCCCCCAAGTACCTGGCCATTTTTTTTACTGAATTTACATGATATGATGTTATAACCCCAAATTAGATATGATAAGGAACAATAATAAATAATATAAACATTTTAATTGTTATCCTATCACATATAAAATATTCGCTGAAAAGTGTCCATTACAATGGACATTAGGTAATTGTTAGTACAACAAAATTTTAATTTTACGCTTTTAAGATTTTTATTTAAAATAATTAATCTCTTAAAATATAAATAATGATCTTGTTGATTTTGAACTAATAAATTTTAACGAAACATTTTAAAATTTATAAAATTTCGGTATGCACATCTACAATGAACTTAATACACAATATCACTGAAAAACTGATTAAATAGTTTATACTAATGAATTATTTACAAAAACAGCTAATCAAATAATAAATAGTATCATCAGAACAAAAATAACTTGTAATGGTCATGGACATATGATAATATAATAAAAATTAAAATTAGCCACAATAGGCATTTCCAGAAGTAAATATATTTGAATTCATAATTGTCAAAAAATATTGTAATCATTAAAGCCGAATGTCTATTCCAAAGGACATTGTTTAAAATAATACATAACAATTATTTAAATATAATTTATTATTTTCAAATTTAATAAGAATACACATTTATGTGTATGTAAATTAAAAATTAAACTTTCTTGTCTAAAATATTTATATAAATATAAATATTAAGTATAGTTTGTTAAAGTGGAAAACTTGTTAGTATATAAATGAGTCAAATAAATATATAATTGTTTTAACAAAAATAATAAAATTACTTAATTAATAAACTAATAAACAAAATGTTGTAAAAAAATTATTAATATAAGTTTACCATAAGTAAAAAAAATAAAATAATATCTAAAAACCTAAGTCCATTAGAACGGACATCTGGCACATACAATTACAAATATTAAAAACAAGTCAGCCGTTAAAGAGGTAGAAAGATTTGTCCATTTCAATGGAAATTAGATTAGACTTATAACTACGAAAATAACAAACGTTTCCGCCGCCAAGAGGTTATACACTCAGATACATAAGACATATGATAGGGGGTGCAGCAATATGAGCTGCATGAACTAAGTACTCACAACTTGTTCCAAGTGTTTCACGGCGTCGTCCATGATTTTGTTCGTAGCGTCTACAAACGCACGTTGTGTAACGGCTGTTCGTTCTGTTCAAGAAGTTACATTGACGCGTTTCTAAAGCCGTTTATTGTTGCTCATTCATATCCTATACCAGACTGGGCCTTGAGAGAGAGCAATTGGTTTGTTATCACGGGCCACACATTCATTATCCCGCATGCAAATTTCCCGCCAAATTGATCACCGCTCTCGTACTTTGCACGTCGTGATAACGCTACGTTATCATTCACAAAATAATAAACTGATAACGCATCTTCCGTTTCTGATAACGTGCGTGTCCGTAAGCCCTACGTTCCTAATTTGTTTTAACCTCGGACCTCCACGGCTTCCCGCATTCGGTAACTTATTATTATTATTATTACCATTATTATAACTCTATGCATCGCCACCGGCGTACTTGCTCAGTACGCAAGCGCGCGCGCAATTTTCGTATTTGAATCCCCTCCTTCTGGCGCTCCTTTAATCGTATATATATATATAATATATTTACAACTATTATTATTCTTTTTTTTTTTTTTTGCAAAATTGCCAGACCGAATACCAATCGTACGTGATACACCACATACCGAGCTTTAGAAGCTATCGTCTCTCTTCCGTCCGGCAATCGCAGGAAATCGGACACACAATACACCGGCAATTGCATACCTCGTCAACACCGCTACTCCCAGGTACGTGATGGTTCCGTCGTAGTTATGCACGTCCTCTTGCCCGTTTCATGTTCTTTTTTTTTCAATTTTCGCCCATTAACCTTTTGCTAATTTTTTTTCCACTCGTTTTTTTTCGGTAGGTGTGCCTAAATACAACCGAACCTAGTAACTCGTGGTCCGCGTGTTCCGAATAACATTTCAGCCATGTACAATATCGGTCGCCTGGGACGCAACGTCTCGGAAAGCGTTCTCCGGACGGCGTCTGCGTCGTCGGTCCGTGGACTGCACGAAATGCCCGACCATCTGAAAGACGTGCCCACAGCTGAGAACCCGCGGTTCTTCGACATGGTCGAGTATTTTTTCCACCGCGCGTGTCAGGTTGCCGAGGACAAGCTCGTCGAAGACATCAAAGCCAAGATGTCTGTGGAAGACAAGAGGAAAAAAGTAAAGGGAATTCTGCTGGGCATGCAACCCTGCGATCACATATTGGAGACTTCTTTTCCGGTTCGTAGGGATAGCGGTGATTACGAGATGATTACTGGATATCGTGCACAACACAGTACACATAGGACACCTTGTAAAGGAGGTAAGTGAAGAATACCACAATTGGTATCTTTTATATTATATTTGTTAGGCAAAATCGTAAATATATTATTATTGTGGTATTTTTACAAAACGATGCAGAATCATGACATTTGTATAACTTAGGTATTTTCACTGTTTTCATAAAATTACACTATTGTAAGTGGTTATCATGTTTCATAAGAATATACTTTTTCATTTTGAAATTAAAAATAAATTTTTTCAGAAGTTATTAATAACCTGACTAAATTAAGTCTTGTTTATATTTAAAATATAAAGTGTAATTATTTTTTATACACTAGTTTTTACTTAATAAGTAGCTACCAATAGTCATTAAATATACTTCAATATTTAATGATATTAATTAATCATTTTATTTTTAAAACTAAAAATATTTTAACTATTAGGTACATGGTAAACATTTTCTTTGAGTGTTTAAGAAAACACAAAGTTATTTGTAGGTAGTGGCTCGTTTTATTTACAAATAATATTTGTGAATAAATTAATTTATCAAAAACATGAACAATGTTTGTTAAATTTATTTGGATTTACATTAAATTCTATAAAAAAAAACATGATCTATATTAAAACTGTTGTTTGGTTGTTCAGAAATTTATCTATTAGTGATTATATTCAGTTATTAAATATTTTAAATTTTAATTTCTAATAAAGTCTTAACACAAAAAGTACATATTATCTACTATATACAGTGCAAAATATATAAATTAATTAGTTTCTTTTTAGATAAGATACTATTTATAGTATATTTGTCTTAATCCAATAATTAAAAGGTAAGGCTAATCTGACATTACATGTGTATTTTAATTTAATAATACCTTTGAAACATCAAGTAATAATTGTTGAACTCAAGATATATCTATTATAATTTTAATAAAATAATTAACTAAAATACATTAAAATCTTATTGACAAAGGTAATAATTCAAATATATTTGAATATTTAAATTTATAAGGCTCTTAAACATTAATTTTGGGTGATGTTTAGAGATTTTCATATCTTTTATTTTGTTGTTAATGTACAGTCATATTTTTTTCATCATATTAAGTAATATTAAAAAATTGCTAGGTTATTAAAGGAATAAAAAATTTATAAAGAAAATTTAATTTTCCATAAAAGTGAATACATATTTTAATCACAATATTTGTTATAAATAAATAGTAATTTTATGTAATACTTAATGAAAGTTGATTAGTTAATTGTGTATTAAAAAAGAATTATAATTAAACAAAAAGTATTAATAAAGCTGATCAAAGATTTTATAGTAGGTAGTCAATTTATTTTTTATTTTGTTTTTTCTATTCATTGCAGTATTGTGGTTTGAAGTATAATTTAATATATAATAATTCAAATATAAACAAACATTTTTATTTAATAACTCTATTTTAAAATTTTATAGATAGTCTATCATAGTTATAATTATAAATAAATATACTATTGTAAATTATTGAATATATAAGATTTTTATAATTTCAAGAGCTATATACTTAAGGTTGTGTATTTAGGTATACGGTTTTCTTTGGATGTGTCTCGTGATGAAGTTAAAGCTTTAGCTGCTTTGATGACTTTCAAGTGTGCATGTGTTGATGTACCATTTGGTGGAGCTAAAGCCGGTATTAAAATAAATCCAAAAATTTATTCAGAAAACGAATTGGAACAAATTACCAGACGTTTCACATTGGAATTGGCAAAAAAAGGATTTATTGGTTAGTATATAACTTTTAATAATTATTAATTTTAGTAATTAAAAATATAGTTGACAAAAATTAAAACCAGTTGTCAAATATGGTGATTTGACCTCAGAGCAAAACTATGTCAAACCACAGCGTGAGAAACAATTTAGGAAATGGCTAAATATTAATAAAAAGATTGAACTCAATTGATCATAATAGGACCATTGACTAATATAGGGTCTTAATAAAAAATAAATTATAAATGAATGAAGCGTTCCAGTGATCTTATTTTTATGTAATATTTATATAAGTCATGTTTTATTATTAACTTAGTTTTAAATTATGAAAAATACAAAATTATGTCTTAAAATATTTGATCTCTTTAAATATTTCTTGTATTTTTAGGACCTGGTGTAGATGTACCAGCTCCAGATATGGGAACTGGTGAACGTGAAATGTCATGGATAGCTGATACATATGCCAAAACTATAGGTAATGTTTAATTTTTTTATAATAACTAATTTTATTATAAATTATACATAAAAATATATTTTTCTATTTTTATAGTTATGTTTAACTTAAATGATTAGTTTTATTATATTTAAAATTTTTAATTTTAAAAATAAAATACTCTCAAATATTTCATTAATTATTCTTATTGTAAATGTGTATTACTGATAAGTATTTTTATTTTTATTTTATAGGTCATTTAGACATAAACGCACATGCTTGTGTAACTGGCAAACCAATTAATCAAGGTGGTATTCATGGCCGAGTATCAGCTACTGGTAGAGGTGTTTTTCATGGGTTAGAAAATTTCATCATGGAGGCAAATTATATGAGCTTAATTGGTACCACACCAGGATGGGGTGGAAAAACCTTTATTGTTCAAGTAGGTTTAAATTATAATAATTAGGTCTGGAATTATATGCACTAAAAATGTACGTAATATGCATTCATTTGTGCACTCATAATCATAAAACTTTGTAAAGAAAAATGCATATTAGTTAAATTTATTTAGTTTAAAAATGTAAATAATTAATATTGAACATACAAATGTATTAAATATCTAGTTGAAATAATTAAATTGTGATTTGTATGTTATATTGAACTGTATGTTAAATTTTGAAACATTTTAAACATTCTTTCATCTAATTATAAATTCTTGAATGAAAATCATTTTAAACATATTTAGTATATTTTTTAGAATTTCAAAGTTATCAGAGAGTTACTGTTGAGACTAAAGACTTGGATAAATTTTAAAATAAAAACTCTTTATACTGTTAAAATTAATTTTAATTTAACTTTTGACTCACATACTTTACAAAAAATAATTCCCCTGTCAGATGCAAAAATTCTACAATTTCCTCAACGTATTTACGAATAGACAATTATACTTTTGATATTTTAATAAGTAAAACAAATACACACTATAGCTAAATACAACTAAAATATAATTTACAAAATTCTATTCAATATACATATTACCAGAATTAATCCTGACTAAGTTATCTTTATCTTGAAGCTATTAAATAACATGGGTAATATAAGAAAACAAATTCCTTACAAGCCATAACTACGTGTGGGTGGAAGCTTCAAAATAGTAAGATAAAATCTACAAAAATATGCAAAATAAAACTGTGTACATTGGATCTATAGGTTATAATTCAAACTTGTAGCTAATTTAGCTACTTTTTGTATTATTACAAAAAACAATACAAATGCATTTAAATCTGGGTCCTAATAATAATTATTTTTATTCAATACTTTTACATTTATTATTATTCTAGGGATTTGGTAATGTTGGTCTACATTCAATGCGTTACTTACATAGAGCAGGTGCCACATGTATTGGTGTAATTGAACATGATGGTGCTATTCACAACCCAGATGGAATTGATCCCAAAGTAATTTAAATTCACAAAAATAATTATACCATGTGTATGTGATTTTAAATGATGATTTTTATAGTAAATTATTGTTTCAGGCATTAGAAGATTGGAGAATTGACAATGGTACTATTGTAGGTTTCCCAGGTGCTCAACCTTATACAGGAGAAAATCTTATGTATGAACCTTGTGATATATTTGTACCTGCTGCCACAGAAAAAGTCATTACATCAGCTAATGCTCATAAAATACAAGCAAAGGTACTGATTATGTTTGATCACCCATTGGGGCATTACCTTCATAAAAAAATTAATGTTTTCAGATTATTGGTGAAGCTGCTAATGGCCCAACAACCCCGGCTGCTGACAAAATCTTAATTGATCGTAATATTTTGATTGTGCCAGATTTATATATAAATGCTGGTGGTGTAACTGTTTCATTTTTTGAATGGTTAAAGAATTTAAACCATGTTTCATATGGTCGTTTAACATTCAAATATGAGCGGGAATCAAACTATCATTTATTGGGTAAAAAATACATGAAAGTATTTATTTTTAGTATGATTATAATTATTAAACTTATGTTTCAGAATCTGTGCAAGAATCACTAGAACGTCGTTTCGGTCGTGTAGGAGGAAGAATTCCAGTTACTCCTTCTGAATCTTTCCAGAAGCGTATTTCAGGTGCTTCTGAAAAAGATATAGTGCACTCTGGTTTAGACTATACAATGGAACGTTCAGCTCGAGCTATCATGAAAACTGCCATGAAATACAACTTGGGTCTTGACCTGCGTACAGCTGCTTATATCAACTCCATTGAGAAAATTTTCACTACTTACAAGGAAGCTGGACAAACATTCTAAGACAATTATTTTGATGAAACCCATAAGGAATTTAGGTGTTGACAAACATAAGCCAAATTCATAATTATTTATTTTAAAAAAAACATAATTTCAATCAAATCATCGTATCTAGTTAGTTATTCATAAATTACCATTTTTTATTTATTTATAATATCAATTTTAAAAGTTCCTTTTTTAAGTATAATTTCAATGCTGTTTGTTGTTATATGTTATTTTATCATTTTGATTCCATTGAACTTGTCCTTAAATCATTGTTTAGTTTATAGTATTCTATATATTAAATATAATTAAATTGTCTTATGGAATTATAGACAGGTAATCGTCTCAACTGGGATGTAAATTGTAAAATAACATTTATGAATTTGGCTAGTTGTTTTCAATGTATTTGAAGAATGAAAATGCTGTTATACTATTTAACTTATTATAAACTATAAAGTTTAAGAAAAATTCCAATTAAATTTTCCTTGTTACTTATAAGACAAGATGTATACGTGTTAATTCAGTATTCTATAATAAATAACTTATTTTATGTTCTTTTGGTTTATGAAAACTTTAAAAGTTTTAAAAAAATTGAACTTATACAAAATATTAATTTAACTAAGTTTAAAAGTACAAACAACTATTGTTCATTTATAAAAAAAATTATAGATATTTATTATAATACAATTGAAAATGTAAGAGCAATTTTATGTTTTCTCTTTTAATGACTATTTCATATAATTTATTTTTTATGAATTTTAATTTATGTTAATCACTTATTAATCAATTAAAGTATTAAATAATTCGCAACTCATCATAGATTATCAAAGTAACTGGTTTTAAGATTTTTGAATTTGGAACTTTTATCATAATTGAATTAACATTTTTTAACTATAAGTAAACAGGAAAATAATGACAATACATTTTTGTTGTTAAGAATGATTGCATTTTTATTTTCAAGCCTGTTCATGTGACATCAAACATTCTTTTGTAGTTTATTGATTAATGGATAAATATTTACATTAGATCTTGTATTTGCTGAAACAATAAGTATATAGAAAGTCATTTTTTAAAACATGCATTATTATAAATATAGTTTTAGACTTATGACACTGAAAGTAATTAAGATAATTCTAATTGAATTCTATGATTTACAAACTAATATAAAATGTTAAAATGGCTTAAAATTTGATGAACAGATGGAAATTTTTTTGGTATTGTTTTGTTATTAATTATATGCAATTTGTTCTACTTGGGAAATAACCTTTGCACAACATGAAAACCTGCAAACTCGATATGTTCTTGGCCTTGGTAATGAAACTATGACTAATAAGTATTGATGGGTAAATAATATTCTTATGGCTTGTAAACACTTTTCAAGAAATTTTTTCTACCCTTAAATTGTTATGTATATAATTACGCCTTAATATTATTTATAAATAATAGCTGGAAATTAATACACTCTATTTTAGGACAGATGATATCTATATTTTTTAACATTTTTCTTTACCTGTCCCATTGATCAGTTTCAACACTACTGTGCAGCTAAAAACTATAGTAAATTCTTAACCGCTTTGCGGTACACAAACAATGGGACTCGTGAGCGTATAAAAACGAATTCTACGGTACCGGTTATTTATTTTAATTAAACATAACGTAATACTTATCATCGAACAATACTTGACGGCATTTACGGATTCGTTATGGGTGGATTACATTGGGCGAATTTACTCGCTTCTTACCAGCGAACAAAGTCGCGCGCGACTAAGCGTGTAGTGACCTGTCCGATTACACTACAGCTAGTATAGTCACGTATTTGCGCGTGTCACAAGTTGTATACATACGATTTTAACAAATATATTAATATTAATTAGTTTAATAATTTGGTTATAAGTTATCTGTGGTTAATATTTAAAGTTTGAATTTTGTAAGTATGAAGTGGAACAGTAATAATATAATTGATTTTTTAAAAATGTATGAAAATAACATAGATATAACAACAACACCTGCGCGAACTACAGCATCTGACATCTTGAAAGTTGCAACCACTACTAGTTACTACTTGCTAGTCGCGAGTACATTAGCGATTTTGCTAGCCATGTCGATTACACATAGCGATTTCACTCGTCAGAGATTAAAATAGCCAGCGAGTAGTGAAAAAAGTAGCCCGGCCGTCAACTTTAATCGCGGGCGAGCAGCGAGTATTCAACACGCGGCGAGTAAGCGACTAGAGCGATTACATTGAGCGACTTTGGTCGCAGCGAGTTAATTCGCCGGCGACTAGCGTGTACAATCGCTCAGTGTAATCGAGACTTTAGCAAGTCGAGTGAGATGCGGTGCAAATGCTCGCCGTACGTTCACCCGGAACGCATTCAAATGTGCGCCCCTCGCTCTCAGTCTTATCACAAAATACATGAAACATTTGTAAATATATATAATATACATTCTGCGGTCTTATCACGTAACTTATTTGTAAGGTTAGGTTGGTAAATGTGCATTCTGTCTCCGACGTTGTTGTCCAGCAGTAAGGTACCGTCGTTGATCGTTAATTTTCCGAAAATTACTTTCGATCCTCGACCGTCCGTCGTCTTTCCGCAAGCGGATTATGCGAAATATATCGCATAAAATGTTCATATAATCTGTGATCTTGCCGTCGTAGTGGACGGTGGATCGTCGCCCGATATCTGACGCGGCTTTCGTCACGTTTTCCGAGCTCCTTCGGTTCGAAAGATATTTATTTTTTGTACACAGAACATCTGTTGCACTCGCATTCCCGTCGCGTACGCGCCGAACGCCAATGACGATGAGACAAGCGAAAATCGTCCGACCGCTTAATTTGGACGAATACTTTATGAGTTTATTACAAAACATTTACAAAAATAGAAATTTATCAGTCGAAGTAGGTAAATCTCGGTTGTATTTTTTTTTGTTTTTCGTTTGATTTCAGTTTAACTCCCAGTCGTTAAGCATTAAGCATGCGAAAAAATGAAATGCCGAAATACTGATGTAGGCTATAGATCGAAACGTTCGATTGTTACACCATATTATCTAGGGTGGTTTGGGTATGGTCTCGTGTTACCGTTCTGTGAGCTCGTGCAATAGGCGTCTTGAAAGGGGTTTTCTGAGTTTTATTTGCGATTTCATGTTTTGATACGTGTACACAAATAAAGAAACGTAGATTACAGTTTGAATAAATCCATAGGTATGCGCATCGTTTCAAGTCTAGGGCAGCGAATATTTTTACTGGCCCATACATGAGTATTAAGTTAACACTTTTAAGTTTCAAAGCCTATTTACAGTTTAAACACAGAAAAGATTAGCTTGGTAGCAATACACTTTTTGGATAACCAACTTATTTTGTATTAAGTATTACTGGTGTGGTGGCCCAGCTTGGATCAGTTCGGCCCTTACAAATATATTCAAACCGTCCTAGGGTAGCAAGAGCACCCTTGCTGCCCCTGTGCTCACGCCTATGAATGAATCCCATTTCATTTTGTTTATATTTTTATTATTGTTTAGTATGTATTATATTTTTAAAATAGCGTTGTTTATGTTCACAGGAAGTGTCACAATGGTTAAGTTCTGCACCGTTAACGACCTATTTCCGAGTTAACACTTTAAAAGTTACACCCCTAGAAGTTATGAAATCCATAAATGAACAAATGTTGAAAGTAAAGTATCTTATATGAATTATTTATGTCAGCGGTTCTCTAACTATGTTTTGTGGAGTCATGGAAATCTGTGAAAGAAGTTTAAGTGATCCATGGGTATATCTAAATTAATTAAATTTAAATATTATTATATTTCTTAGTTATCGAGGAAAAACGGTGCTATAATTACTTGGATTGTACAAGAAATTGTATGTTTTAGCGACAGCCATTTCATTTACAACTAATAAAATTTAGTTATTCCGACTTAATTAGTTGGATGGTATTTTCATGAAATGAAATGAAGTAAATTTATCACTAGAACGTAAAAATGACAAAATCCGAGCTTCTAAAAAAAATCAAATTTTGGACCATGTGTTTTTCTGAATATGATATGAATATTGATAATTATTGTTGTCTTGAGTATAAATTCTTGATTTTCTTGGCTTTGTAAAAAATTTTTAGAAACATAAGGGCTCTGCAAACAAAAAAGTTTGAGAACAACTGATTTATGTTAATGAACAATGTATATCTCAGGTCTTCTTTTCTGTTTGTTTACAGTTTTAAAATGGTTTATTATTTAGTTAAATACTAAAAAATATTGTATTTAAAATTAATTTCTATATTGGAAAAACATTTAAAAACATATTTTGTTGGTTAATAATTATACTTTTTTTTATAGTTGAAATATTTTAGAAATAATGAAAATAAGCCTTCAGTTAAAATACATTCACAGCTAAACGATTGTATAGAAGTTTCACCTATTGACAACTCTTTACTTGATTTAAGTCCTAAAAGCGAAGAAGTTATAATTGATATTGCTACTGGGCAATCTGCATTACGTGGCTCACATATATTTGCTCCTGGGATCATGGCCATGACACCTGGTAAAATGATAGATTTTGTATGTTAAAAAATATAATTTAATCTATGTAAGAATTGTTATATATGTGGTTTTTTGTAATATATATCTCAAAATAAAAAATTGTTGATACAATTAATAGTTAAAATTAAAAAAAATGTATTTATATTAAAATGTAAGTATAGTAGTGAACTATCGTATTGTTATGATGATAAAATTGTTGAATAATTATTACAACATTCATTATATGTATTTAATATTATTTTAATTTTATTATAGTTCACATAATAATGGTTTGTTTTAAAAAACTAAAACTAAAGTATTAATATTTTTTAGAAATAAAAATTGGTTCTACTATATCAGTTTATACTGATTTAGCCCAACGGTGTAAAAAAGGTTATCAAAAATACTACGATAATCCTTTAAAAATATTTGTTGGTAATGGTGTTGCCAAGATGAATCGTAGACAATTATTTAGTGGTGATATGAACCCTAAGTAAGATAAAATGTGTGTTGAGTTCTTGATGTATTTTAAACAATGGATAAATTATTGCATTTTAGAGGTATTGCTATAGAGATGACTGATCCCATTACAGGCGTCCCATCATTCACATTGCCCAATGAATATGGAATGCTACAGAATTTGCCATCGATTGTTACTGGATATGCTCTTAATGTGAATGAAAACAATCTTAAAGTATTGGACATGTGTGCAGCACCTGGTAATAAGACTACACATTTAGCAATTTTAATGAATAATAAAGTGAGTTTATAATATAACCTTTAAAGCTAAATATATTATATAATTTCAATATTTTTAACAAGTAAAAAATGAATGAAGTAAGTTCGTTGGGTAATTCTTCAATTGTGAGAAAACAGTGATTATTCTTGAAAGTAAAATTATTTTTATTTAGTATAACTGAAAAATACATTTCCATTTTACATAGTTTTATAAGCTGTATACTATACAGTGTATAGTAATGCAATGTTAATTTTCGATATAAAAAATATTACTTTAATTTAATTTTAAATTTACAGAAAATATTTAAATATTTATTAAGATCACTGTAAAACATATTTAGTATTAATATATTATATTGTATTGATATCTTCTGAAAGAATTATTGTTTAGAGGTTACAAAAGAAAAAATTAAAAATTAAGTACATTTTATTCATAGGGTTCAATAGATGCATTAGATAAATCAAAATCTAAATTAAAAAAATTAAAACTACGATGTGATGATTTTGGAATAGAAAACGTAAGAATTCATCATTTTGATTCACTGATTAGTGTTGACTCAAATAATAAAAATATTGGAAGTGAAATTAAACCACCATTTAAAGTTGAATCATTTGATCGTGTACTATTGGATGCACCTTGTAGCAATCTTGGACAGCGGCCATTACTTAAAATCGAAGCATTTGAAAAATTAATAAAAAGTTTTCCAGCTCTACAAAAGAAATTATTAATCAATGTAAGTCTTACAAAAGTTTACTTAATCATTAATTTAAAATATAATTATATTATTAATTTTTTATATTTTTACAATAGTTATATTATTTCCTAATATATTTTAGGCTATTGATCTCCTTAAACCTGGTGGTATTTTAGTATACAGTACATGTACAATTACAATTGAAGAGAATGAACAGAATGTTGCTTGGGTACTTGAAAAGTATCCACAAATGGAACTGATGGCAATAAATTCTCAAGTTGGCAGTTCTGGAATTACTCAAGTAAATTACAATAATGATATCTTTAATATTTCTATTTTAACTTTTGTTTTATTGATTATAGGTAGGATTAAGTGAAAATAATTGTGAACTTGTGAGGCGCTTCGGTCCTGAGAATGCCAAAGAAGATTCTATCGGATTTTTTATTGCAAAGTTTCACAAAAAATATTAATTAGAAGTACATGTTTAGAGATAAATTAAATTATTTTTTAACTGTCTGTTGAAATATATTTATTCAAAAAAATATAAATTTTTAATTTCTAATTTTAATCATTATATTAAAGGAGCTCCAAAGTGCAACCATTTAAATATTTTATGTAAATAACAATAAGAGACAATAGACATTTAAAAATTGTCTACTTCAATAAAACTTAAAGCATAATTATGACATTTTCACTTAAGAGGACTAACGTTTGTTGACAGTGCAGTTATAAGCAATATAATATGCTCGTAAAAATATTCATATAAGCGTTTAAATATACTTTGTATTATTGTATTTGGTTTTCGCCGATCGATTTGTGATCGTGCGCCGTTATACTAACCCTAATTAATAAGTTTAGTCATCTGCAGCAACGACGCAATAAATACTGATTATACTATTATCATTTTAAGTCCGGTTATTTTTTACGCTTTGTTAGGGTCATCTCAAACTCATCATAGTCACCTATCATATATACAGTTCATTCCACTTCTACTTTTGTTTAATATCAGGTTCGACAATTCAATCAAACACGACGGCTTTGTGTGTGCAGCCGAATTCCGCACAACGTATATTTTGTGTTTTAATGGTTCAGATGTAGTTATTGGTAACAAATGTATTTATAATAAAGAAACTTATTAATTTTAATTTATAATAAACAATTAAAAATTGTATAATAAGAAATATTTATAAATTTATAACAATAATTTAGATAGAAGCTTAGATTTTTCATCAACTGCATTTATTATAGTATTGTTATCTATTTCCATCAGAATTGTATTCTTAATGGCCATCAACATAAAAGACTCAAGTCTTCATGGTTGAAAATAACCTTTCACAAGCCACTTGAGTAACGATGAGGGTTAAAATGTATTGATATGCTATAGTTAATGTAGCATGATGTAAAAGCATTTGCAAATAAATTATATTTAACTAATACAATATAACAACATATTACACAATTTTTACAAGACTTATTACAAGGTTTCATAACATCCATAATCTCTAGGTCTTCATTTTCAGAGTCACTTATCAATGAATGTTCATTATAGTCCTCATCAACAGATTTTTTTTACAAAATCAAAAGTTCACGCGTTAAATACGATTTACTATGAACATAACATTAAAATTTAAGGCTAACAATTTTTTTTTTTATATATATATATATATAATATAAAATAATCTCAAAATCTAACCTAAAATTCCTAACCTATCAATTCATCGTACCAAGTACAATAGTTTCATAGTTTCAAAGTTTTAATACAAAAATATTGTTGATGCATTTTGACACACTTTTTCTTTTGAAATTAATTGCACTGTTTTTCTAACGAGCGCTTGTTATTTTATGTGTTGTTCTATGTCAGTGCAATAAGCTCCGCGCAATTCGCCGACTGACGAGAGAGGGAGTCTATTGAGTTGTGCGCAGCGTTTTATAGGAATATTGTTAGGCTCTAAATGTAGGCAAACATCTAAGGAGTTACTCGGAAATAACTTTTAAGTCGTTGTTCTTCATCAACAAGGTGGTTATTTATCAACATTTTGAAAATACCTTCATTTCTTGTCTATTATAAATCTTACCGACTTTCTTAAATTCCAATGTTCATGGATCATATATTCTTTATTTTCGTCATCGATTATTACATGTCGAAGAATAAGCAGTGCAATTATTTTCTTCTTTCTTTCAAGACGATTCATTGCAATTACAAAATGATTAATAACAATATAATTAATTACAAATACACTACACACTGATCACACATTTAGTAGTCAACTGAACTGTTCAACGCGCCACGATTAAGTTTTATAGGTAAACACTTTTACGCTTACCTCGGCGTGATACAGCTATCACGTCGACGTGATCTGTTTCTGCGGCTCAGAAAATGCGCTCCTAGGAAAACGTACCTTAAGAGCAACATAATTACAAACATCGTACATCGTACAAACTTGGCAAGTACACTCGCCGAGTATACGCTCGCAAAGTACACGAGTCGTGTGGAACCGGCTTAAAGATATACAACTTTCAGGTTTCAACTGGCGTCTAATCAGTAATTTACAATTTCTCGGTAATTAGTTCTGTTGGATTGTATACTTGTATTGAGATAATACATACACTCCTCAGTATTCGGATGTTTAATTATAAAAATAACCAACGACGTGTCGTCGATTTTGATTTTATTTGTTGTCTATATTTAAGTAATATTTTGTAATTTTATATCTGATGTCCTATACTTAGGGTTACCATAATATTTTTAGACCAATTCCGGACATCAGTTCCGTTTCACGGGAGGGAGGGAGGTAAAAATTGAAAATAAACAATATTGTTATTTCATTAATACAATTTTACTTAGATCTATGATAAGAGCAGTGGCGTAGCCAGGATGTTTAAATGGGAGGGGCTAATCACTTTTTTGGATAAGTAATGTAAGAGAGAATATGAGAAGGATAGGATAGAGGTAATCATGGTAGAAACCAGAAGTAGGTATTAGTAATCTGTAATATCTACGACAAAGACAAACACCTGTTATTCGTTAATCGTCAAAATTTAGTTAATAACAAAGGTATAAAATACTTAAATAAAAATAGTAGTATACTAGTTTAGTACATAGATACACTATACATATAAACATGGCCCATGGGGGGGGGGGCTATAGCCCCCTTAGCCTCCCCTCAGCTACGCCACTGCATAAGAGTTATTAGGTTAAATATGTTAAAACAATACAAATATGATATATAAAAAAAAATTAATTACATATTGTACATTTATACAGAGTGAACACGAAAATCTGTCACCTGATATAACATTTTGTATCAATATAACAATGTTAAACGATTATCTTTGTAAAATCCTGACATTTTTCAAATCCGGACGCCAATCCGGACAGATGTTTGAAATCTGGACTGTCCGGACGTAAGGTAACCCTACCTATATTTTATCATATTCATACGGAACTATTAAAATGTAACACAATTTTATTAATAATTTACCAAGTACAATAGTTTCATAGTTTCAAAGTTTTAATACAAAAATATTGTTGACGCATTTACTAATTTTGTAAATAAAATCTAATATAAAATGACCAGGCCACAAGGCCATAATATGGTCCAGGCCATCTGGAAATTTTCCAATTCCAGACCGGGCACTCCGCTTCTGCTCTTAACTCATTTCATTTATATACTCGACATCACGTTGACACTGTCTGTGACTATAACCATATAATTTTTCAATGTCTTTCTCTCCTTTCTAGCCAATATTCATATAAGCGTTTAAACATGCATTAAAATTACAAAAATCTACAAAAAAAAAAAATGTATCATATAAAAATCACAATTTTCATTTATTATTAAAAAACTTGTTACACCCGAAAATTGGAGAGTACGAAAATACTGATGCCTTCTTGTTTCAACAAGATGGGGCCACAGCTCATACGACCGTTATTCTCGTGTTGTTCTGTAAAAAATGTTTCCTGGTCGCCTGATCTCCTTAAAGGAAAACATTACATGGCCTCTTAGCTCCCCTGATTTGAGCCCATGTGACTGTTTCTTATGAGGATATCTCGAGTCTGAAGTTTTCAAACATCTATCTAAAACCATTGAAGAACTAAAGGAGGCTATCCATCAAGAAATCTCCACGATTCCACTCGATATATTGACGAGAGTGATAGAAAAATTTCGAGAACGGCTCCATATGTGTGTCGCTCGTCAACACAATTATTTAGATGATATAATTTTTAAAAAAAAATTTAAAAAAACCATATATAATAAAGTTTTTAAAAATAATTTTTTTTTCTGTATAATGTATCATTTTTTTTTAATTCAACTCGGAAATGTGGGAGTCCATTATGCCACACTGTCTTTATTACATAAATAGGTATATATTATTATTGGTTATAGAATACAATTATCATTAAAATTATTTCTCAATCAAAAATATTATTAAATAATATTGGACATGAGAAGAAATTCAAAAGCTGATAAACATTTTGAGATGACTCTTTTATTGAGAT